ACTCAGGAGTTCCCAAGCATTGAGCAGACGGTGGAGCAAAGTAGATCTTCCCGAGCACAGCCATACAGGGGATCCTGTGTTTCCTCATCGGACATGCCTAGTGCATCTGATTGGAGAGCGATGATGGACGGGATGAGGAGTCTCCAGACCTCATTCTTGGACTTTTGGGAAGCACATGTGACAGAGTTCTGAGACTATCGATTAACACAGGAGGTCGCCATTAGGGAGATGCGAGATACACAGACTGCGACCCTAGTAGAGTTCCGAGACTATCGATTGGCATAGGAGGTCGCCATCAGGCAAATGCGCCAACAGATAGAGACTCAGTAGACTGATATTGATGAGATAAAAGATTGGCTTAGGCCTGACTATGGCCCACAGGATGACACATGCGATGCTTAGTTTTTGTTTCTTCCTTAACATTTTATTGTGTTTGTTTGTTTATTCAGGTTGGACATTGCGTTGCTTTTTTGACTTAAACGCTCTTACAAACTGACTATGGATGATGTAAGGATATTTTTAAAACCATTTTATTCCTATTTCATTGTTCCTCTTCACAAAATCTTTTCAAAACTCAAGTGTGAGGAGAGAACCAAAAAAATGTGCCTTTATTTCAATACTTCGTGCCTCAAAAAGAGACCTCGAGGGTGAGGTCCAGCTCAAGTGTGAGGAGGTTGCGTTTTACACTCAAAAGTTAAAACCTTATTTTAAAACAATCTTTTTACTATTTTTTATATGAAACATTAATTTCTCAATTTGCTATCAATCACGTAATAGCTTAGAGAATCCAACTCTATTATAAGAATTTACTTTTATTTTTATTTTCAAGAAAACTTGGAACTGTTATGAATTTTTTGGTTGCAAATGTAAAGGGCTGAATTTAATTGTTTTAATTGGACATTAATTTTATTCATTAAAACAAACAAAAAATGTTACTATTAATAAAACTCTTCAAAACTCATTGTTATAGGACAATTCAATCTCCGAAAACGGGCTTTGTTTCATTCGTTAATCATAGTCTCTGAGAATGAAGTATGCATTTACCATGGGATAACACCGCCAACTAGAGTGAAAAAAGAGGCAAAAAGAAAATTGATGAACAAAATGAATGTACAAATTACAATAATAAAAACCTTGGGATAAGGAATTGATTGGTGGTTTAACATAATCAATAGTTTTTTTTAAATGATAAAAATTTTAAATTCTTGTATTTTGGGTGATTTTTCTAAAAAGTTTAAAAATTGAAAATAAAAGAAGAGGTGTTTGTTTCTATTTCTTTAATAGCAACGCGATTGTAATATAGTCAGGTTTTACCTTTTGAGTGTGTTTGCAACTGATTTGTCGCTTGAGGATCGACAATCAACGCTTAAGTGTGAGGAGATTGATAAGTCCATTTTTGTACTTATTTTTTCACCATGTTTGAGCGATTTTTGGATAGAAAATAGAAAAACAAGACATGTTTTAGATATTTTGGTTCAAGTTTCATTAAATCAGGTGAAAATCACATTCATAATATGTTTGGTGAAATTCCAGGTCAATTGAGCACAAAATGGGTCAATTTGGGTAACAAATGAATTCATATAGGAAGAAACAAACATAATATCAAAGTGGTCTACAAGACAATCTTGAAGAGCAGAAAATACATAACAAAACAGAAGAATTTTCAAACAGAAGATTTACAAACAGAAGATTTACAAACTGAAAATCATGAAGTTACGCCTATTCAACGGATACTTTCTTATCGTGAGCTACTAGACCGTGTTGGTGACACGGAATGTGACTCATCTTGTTCTAGATTGCTACCCCTCGACAGAGTGCTCATCTCTAGGCTAAAAAATTGGCTGAAACATAGGGTCCCTTCTATATTTATAGAATTATCTTATGGATATTTTGGGGATTTCATCTCTTACGGGAAAAACAATACAATTGGACGGGAGATTTTGTTCATGGATCGGATTTGAAGGTTGGTGGATTTGCAGGGCCTTATTTGGATTGTTCAGTCATTAGTAGTTTTGTTTACTAACTTTTTTTGTTTTATTGACTTTCTTTCATCGTCATTTTGTACCGTTGTTAATAAAATTCTAATAAATTAAAAAAAATGATAAAACATGAGATTACATTTTTAATAAAAAAAGATTTGTACATTCTTGATTTCATACTTTATTTTTTAACAGTAAACCGCTGACCGGTAGGCAAAAAGCTCCGATTTTTCCTAGGGCGTGAGCCGCTAGGCCATTTTTTTCCGATTTTTATCTCATCGATTGAAGATCGGCTTTCTTGTTTGCTTTGACGTTTTCATACCGAGACAGCAGGTGACCGGCGTGTGTCTGAGGGCTGGGGCGTGGTGTGAGGGATCGGAGTCTACTGCTTCGGTTCGGCTGAGGACGAACAAAGAGAAGGGTCCGAGACAGAGGTAGTCGATGGAAGATATTGTCAACAATTATAGGAAGATGGCTATTGGGGAGGCAGAGAATGAATTGGATTTCGATGTAGAAGATGCAGGGGAAGAGGACGAATCTGAAGAGCAGTTGGGGTTCCTGGTGACTAGAGTTGGTAAGCGGGGGATTGGAGATCAATTTCACGCAGCTGAGGAGAGCCGAGCAGTGCAAGGTACAGACAAATTCCAAGAGCAGATCAGCGGTAAACAAAAGGACAAGAACGAATTGGCGATTGATGATGATGAAAAAGAGGCGGTCGAGTCGGAGGAAAACCGCTCTGGTGCAACAACAATCGTTGCGAGGGTCCGGCCTCCTCCGGAACCACCGCCAAGGGTTGATCGACGCGTTTTGGAGTTTGCTTATTTATCTATTCTGCATTTTAATTTCCAAGTTAAGAGTTTGTGTGTTGTTGTTGTTTTGTTTTATGCTGTAAGACTCTTGTATTAGGTTTGGGGGATGAGAGGTTTATGGCAATCGTTGTTTGCTTTATATTGCCCGAGTTAGGTGTAGCGAGTTATATTGCTTTGTCAAAGGTGATTAACTCAGAGTCTCGGCCAAGGGCGGATGGTTACATGTGGTCCTTTCACGTTCTTGTATCCCTGCTGAATGCTATTTTAATGATATAACCACGTTCTTACGATAAAAAAATAAAAATAAAAAAGATTTGTATAAAAAAGTGTGTTTTCGATTTCGATTCATCAATTTAATTCCCTCTGAATATACATCAAATTACCCTTAGATTTTCGGAGGTGTAGTGATAGATAAGATAACGTGAATCAATTCGTAATCTGCAGTGTTGGCCGGGCGGATTAGTGATGGAAATGGTAATGAAGATATATAGGAGAAGGTAGATTCTATGGTACAGTACTCACAAGGTACCATACTTTTTATCCACATGGGTTAATTAGAATGTTGTAGTTGAATTATTTAAAGAAATAATTATCCCTTGTATGAGTAAAACTTCCTCACTTTCCCAATCTATGACCTAACTAGTTTTTTTCCCAAAATAATATTTAAATTAATTATATTTAATTAATTTCGTAATTAATAATTAAATAATTAATTTTTATTGACTAATATACCTCTTAGGTTAAGTCTATAAAACCCTAACTTTTTACTCTTTTTCTCCAACCCTAGCCTCTAGCTTCCCACTACTCACACACACCCGCCTGCCGCTGCTGCCCCGCCGCCGCCCAGCCTCAACCTAGCCGCCACCTACCTCTGTCGCCCCGTCACCGCCCAGCCGATGGCTTGCCGTACGTCCGCCTTCTCATCACCTCCGTATAACTGCAGAGTCACGTGTTCTCCTCCTACGTACGTCCAGCCCGCACTCGCCACCACCGCCGACCTTGCCCTGGCCGCCGCCGTCCCGCCTCACAGTTGCCTCGTGCCTCCGTCAACCAGCGTGCTTGATCTCTTGCCGCTTGAGATTACGGTTTGTTGGGTTCTTCTTCTATTTAATGAAATTAGGGTAATAAATAATGTTGCCAAAGAATGGTGATGGCCGGACCGCCGCTCCAACAACTCAGATTCTTCAGCAAGACGGTCGAGGTGGAAGACGAACCCAAGTTTGAAGAAGAACCCTAGGTTGAAGGCGATTGAGGACAGTGTGCAATGAATATTTTTTATGTAATGCCGTGAATATCACAAGAAGTGCAATGATTATGACAAAGAAGTGCAATGATATGACCATATATAAAGTGATTTTGACAAAAAGTGCAATAATGTAGAGCATTAACATTGATATAAACTGCAATTATCAAATCTAAAAAATTATAAAATGCTAACATTTTTGTAATGTTTTGTCATAACTCTCGCATGGAGTACGTGCATTGGATTTAATTAAACGTAAAAATTAAAATTATCCAAACTAAAAAAGGACAAACTGAAGTACCATAACTTAAGTGCATGAAGTGCATTATATGTTGTGCAGTGAATGCCGTCATAAAGTGTTATAAATGTTGTGCGATAACGCGTTCATAAAGTGCAATATATTTACACGGCTGAAATTAGTGCAAAATGCATCTTTTTTAAATAAGGACATTTTTGTCCTTCCACATTATAATATGACAAATTTTTTTTTTTCGATTTTTAGTCATACTCCGGGAAAAAAATATAGCTACTCATATTTTGAGAAACTCAATATGTTTTAGTCATATCTTGGGAATTTTTCCTTATTTAAATCTAAATTAAAAATGATATAATGATTTGGAACAATCAAGTGAATGATAGTCGGGTACGATACCTCATTTGTTAAATGAGTACGGGAGTTGACAGTAGGAGAATTTGTAATTAGCAATATGCAGTATATACGTAGTATGCATATACGAGTAGTAGGTAGCGGAGCTCCAATAATTTGTAGATGGAATAGGCTTAGATTATGCATGGTACGTAGCGATAAGGGTGAGGCCTGAGGGGGTGGGGGATAGATTATATTCGGTGGGGCTAGCAAGTGAAGTGGAGCAGGTAGAAATGAGCTTTAGTAAAGAGGTGAGCTGAAAAGTTGCGGCATTTATTTATTATTATTACGAAAAAGAAAAACATGCAATAAAGTGAATGATGCAGGCCTGGCCGGCTGGCTGGATCATCTACCCACCGTTCAAACCCCATTTTTATTAAAGTGAAACGGTTGATGAGATGAGGTGTAGTATAGCTAGGTACGTTTGAATAGAAGAGGCCGGCGAGGGGATGGAGTAATATAATGAATGGAAAAGAATTATTATTAGTGATGAAGCAGCGGACAGCCGTAGGCGGCCGTTTGAAGAGAGGGTTTTGGAGTGCTGAAGAGGATGTGGCTCTCAAGAAATGCGTAGAGACACACGGGGAGGGCAATTGGGCTACCATCTCTGCCCAATCAGGTAATTAATTACCTTACTTACTTCCGTCCCTCCCTACATCTGCATGCGCGCTTACTAATTAAATTAATTAATTAAGATTATATATTATATTGTCGTCCCGGCCATGCACTTTTTCTTTAAATTAAATTAATTTCCATGCATCCTGCAGGTTTGATGAGAAGCGGGAAGAGCTGCAGGCTGAGATGGAAAAATTACTTGAGGCCAGACATAAAGCGTGGGATGATGTCCGCAGACGAAAAGGATCTCATCATCCGAATGCATAAACTTCTGGGCAACAGATGGTCGCTCATTGCAGGCAGACTCCCCGGCCGGACTGACAACGAGGTCAAGAATTTCTGGAACACGCATCTCAACAAGAGGCGGAGGAGGAGAATACTGAAGAAGACCACATTGCCGCCGCCTCATCAGCTGGGGGTGCTGGACGACGACAATCACATTCATAATATGATTTCATCACCCCCGCCGCCACCACCACCTAATAATAATAATGATAAAGGAGGAATTATTATTGTGGATGATAAAGAAGAAGAAGAAGAGGAATTGATGATAAGGGAGGAGGAGGAGGATTCATGGATGCAGATGGGCAACACATCATATTCATCCATGACGGCGGCGACAGCCAACAACTTCTTGCCTTCGCCTCTAATGATGTTTGGGGGCGACGACCCTTTCTGCCATATTCCCGTGTGGGATAATGACGGCGGCGGCATATTGTTTGATGAAACCTTCCTTCACACGATCCTGCAGGGCAGCTAGTCGATCCATCGGCATTGAATTGGCCTGGGTGATGATATATATAGGGGATAAGTTAGTTTCGTGCCTCAGCTGGTGCTTCATCACTTCAAATTATGTATGTAGGTGATGACGTACACCAGCTTCGTTCCGAAACCATGCATGCATGCATGCACTTGCCTATTCTACTTCATCACACCGTAATATATTACTCCCTCTATCCTTAAAACTTTGTCAACTTTCCTTTTTTGTATGTCTTCCTACCTTCACCACTTTCCCTTTTAATAAAAATTTGTGATTCCAATTAATTCTCTTCCCTCTGCACAAACTTCAACCACACAGTTTTTACTTTATTAATTACTACATATATTCAAACTACCTACCTAGGTAGCATGCAGAGTTCTGTTTCAGTAATACAAGCTGCTTTTATTTTACTTAAATAATAACAACCTCTCTAGCAGCTCATATAAAAGCTGCGCTAGCTCTTTGATTGACACAATCAAATACTCGTACTTGTCACATTCTATATTCACAAGTCTTAGCTTATAATCCTCCATCCCGAATTGAGTTGCAAACTTTGACTGACACGCGATTAAGAAAACTTATAAATTTATATTGTGTTTTCTATTTTGCCCTTGTCTCATGCCAAGTAAAATAAAGAAAAAACTCAAAAGTGGAAAAGTACAATTGAAAAACACTTTGACCGTACCACAGCCTAGTAAGAAGCATTACAAATGCTGAAATGAAGTACAAAACCTACAGTAGTGTCCAATCCAATTTTTTGATGTGGCTAAATGAGGTGGGTGGGATAGATAAAGTGAAAGGGTAAACCAAACTTTTCATTGCTACTATTATACCCGAAATGGAAAGTGTAAAATCATTTTGGGACAACCAGAATAGGAAATTTTGCAAAACAAATTGGGACAAGGGAGTATGAATTACATCCCTTCTGTTTTTATTTTAATTTTTTTTTTATAAAAAATTAATTATTTTAATGATCAAAGATATGCGTTGGCAAACATGAAAAGTGGATTGTTGCAACTAAACAAGGTCATCTAATGAACTTGGAGGCCCCGGTTTAAAATGCAAATTTGAGGCCCCACTTTAATATAAAAAACTAAAAAATATTCTCAATCTAAATTCTTATTATACTCAAATCAATTAAATACTCATTAAATAATACAATTAAAAAAATACAGGTAGCAATTTTTCCCTTTCAGATTATTAAGCTCTACAATTTTTTGTAAAGTATTTCAATTTATGAGGGCATTATTATACGGAGTAGTGGAGTATGAATTTACCTGCAGGCCATATTCATATACGATAGTATTAGTATGTTATGTCATGTCATGTCATGTCATGTCATGTCATGTCATGTCATGTCGTATCATATCATATCATATCATATCATATCATATCATATCATATCATATCATATCATATCATATCATATCATATTATATTATATTATTACATTATGTTAGTGGCCTCAAAATACTACTACTAGTTCACTATAAATATGGGCCCCTAGGGAAGTAGGACCTTGTTCTGTTTAACCTAATTAACATGCTAAAAGACGTCCATGCAACTTAATGAGAACGGAGGAACTATATACTACTACGTACTATATATTTAATATATAATTATATTTATATTCATATGCTAAATATCGGTACTATATAGTTTTATTATGTTATGAAGACAATAAACTTCTTTGGCCTCGTAGATATGCGTCTTCCATGCGTGTGTACTGTACCCGTGATCAATTTTTTACCGTTTTATCAATTTTTTGCTTTTATCTTCGTTCTTTCATATTCTCCTTTTAAGTGACTTTACATAACTCTATCATTTTTTCTCTAATTTGAAAGATTAAACCATTTCATTACAATTTTTTTCTCATGCGGTATAATTTATAAAGTTTTACAATTACATTTTTGCACTAAATATAAACTGATTATTAGATATAAAACCATGCCCCCAAGCCCTCTACTATGTCCTATGATTCATGGCTGTCACTATGACAAAATTGATGATTAGAGTCACTGATCATAGTTTTCTCAACTCAACCAAAAAGAAATAAATACAAAACAAATAGGAGATGATAAAACAATTATATAAACAAATAACACTCCATCCAATCTCTTCGCGCAATTACACATGTAAAAACATTACAATCTCAAATTCGTGCGGTTTTTGCTTGATACATGCTACCAAGCTTCTTCCATATCGTGTAAGCACTTTGTTCTTGAGCAACATGGTGGATTTCAATATGATCGATCCATTGTCGAATTTGTGCGACAGTTTTTCGCTTCATCTTACTCCGTTCTTCTTCCATCTTCTTATCCGGTTTGGCACCATTATTATCAAGAGGATCAGCTAAATCCCTCAAATTTAGCAAATCCTCCATTCGAGGCTTTCACATATTGTAGTTTGTGGAAGTGAGCGCAATCATGGTGTATGATGATGTTTTTTCCATAATAAAGTGCTCAATATATCTCTTAACTTATTTTTGATGCCTAATTTGGACACTGTTGACTCCGAAATGGTAAAAAATGGTAGGAACCGGTCCAAAACCGGTTTGGATATCACTCAACCAGGCTTATCAAGTTGTAACCGGTTCGGTCAGGTTCAGGCAGCAGCCCAGTCTATAGACACGCAGGCAGACACATGTTAAAATCTGGCTCTGCGCTTGCACTGACGTGGCGACACATGGCAGATGACGTGGCTTCGGAGCAGATGGCTTGTTCGGATGACGTGGCGGCTGACATGCACAGACTCAGCGTGACGTGCCGCTAACATGGACGACACGTGGCGCCGACGTGGTCATCTTCTTCCTTCAGGCGAAGCATGCGGCGGCGTGCCGTGACTTTCTCCAACTCGCTTGCGCGTGTTGGCGCGTGCTGCGGTTTCTGGTGGTCGTTTGGTTGCCGAAAAATATCAAAATTTTCCTCTCGGCGAGACGAACCCAATGGTATTACCAGATCGTGATTCCGAGCAACTTCAAAAAACATTGATTTCTAACCTTATAGAATTTTTTCTACAAGGTTAACCCATTGAATTTTTCGGGTTTCTCCACAGAGTTGCTTGGCACGGTAACCATAGGGATTGCCCATTGGTTGCCCAAAGCAGATGCACCGCTTTCAGAGTGATTATCGTTCGGCACATTCTGCACAACAACATTCTGATTTTCTTGAGAAGCCATTTTTGTTTTCTTAACGTTTTTCCGAAAAACACAAAAAGATTTAAGTTCGTTCACAAAAGTGACAAACTACGTTTTTAAGATTGTGTCCGTGTGATACCAACTTAGCAACCAAATACGTTTTAAGATTGTTGGGTGTGTTTCGGAAAATAAAGAAAATTAATTAAAATAAATTAATTAAAATGACGAAAGAAAACAAAAATAAGATGGAGCAGAAATTAGTCAAAGCTCGTGCTACGTACGCACGATGTCCTTAAAACGTATTTGTTGCCTCCCACGGTGGTAGGAGCGTTGCAACAATAGTTTCCCAGGATACGATGACTACGAACTTATGTTTGAGCACACAAACAAAAGTTCCAGCGAGCGAGAACAAAGACTGAACACTCGGGAAACTTTCGGAATGCTGGAGGTGTTTTAGAGCTCAGAAATACGTGAGGAATGTGTATGAACGTGTGTGTCAACGTGTGTTGTTGCAAACCACCTGCCAGCAATTATATAGGAGGATTTGTTGTGTGTAAATGGTGAATTAATGGACCTGAACGTTGGACATCAATGGTTGTTGTAACTGTCCATTTAACGTCCATGAACTGTCCATTTAACGTTGCATTAAAAGATAAGAACGTTGGACATTAATTGTTGTAACGGTTCAGATGCGCGACAGAAGACCTCCCAACAGAACACCCTGTGAGGGGTTCTGTTCCGAGGCCAACAGAAGACCCCATGAGCGGTTCTGAATATCACAGAAGACCCCGTTTCGGGAAGAAAACAAAAATTAACTGTATCTCTTGAGAGATAGATTTTTGGCCGACATTCGTGTCCGCAGGTCGCCCGCACACGCAAGTCGCGGTTTTTCTTCTCCGATTTCGGGATTTGATTTGCACCCCCCCCCCCCCTCTCCCCCCGCGCGTGGAGAGAGCCTTTACCCTTAGGAATCTTAACTTCTTAAGGGGGGAGTCCCTTTATAAAGGGTTGCAAATCCCTTGGGTTTTCCGGTGTGGGAAATAACACACTAGAAACCCATCCTTTTTCCCAGTTTTCCCATTCTAACGGGTAAACTTCGAGAATCAATTTCTCTTTCACCCGTTATCCGTTTTAAGCGTACCACATATCGAATTGTAGCCTTTAACAAGGACAATCCGAAACCACTTTGACCCGACCCAAATCGGAAGTGGACCAACTCAAAATATTGCCCCAAAATTACCATTTAATGCAATTAAACACATTTTTCCAACAGGCTAAACAATACATAAAGTTTCACAACATCCATTTTTTCACAGTGGCCTGAAATCTTTTGATGTTGAGTGGCATCTTTTTCTAAAGAAGTGTAATAAATGCAATAAGCATTCTCAGATACACAAGCATGCTGGACAATATAGCTTATATGTGTGTGTCTTATACAAATTGGATTGGCATACTCAAATTTGAGCTTTGATGATGAAGAAAAAGATTTGACTAAATTGATAAATTGTTCTAGAGCAGATAAAAAATGTGCATTTTTAAAATTGGGTGAATCTAATTGTGGCTAAGAGAGACGAACATGCGGCAACTAACCCTAGCGCCGCGAAGCTCGATCTGATCAATTCAAGCCAATCTTTCATTAGCTTTCTCCCATTAATTTCATCTTCTCGACCTGTGTATCTCAATCCAGTGATCCAACTATCCGATGGTGACATCAACACTTAGAGATTGTTAATAGAGGTATGATCCAATTGGATTGTTATTCTCTTCTGTTTGTGTTGATTTTGTTCTATGGCGGTTCTTTCTCGGGCACTGGTGCTCCGGGTGGTTTGTCTCTCTCAATGTGGGGAGTTATGTTCGTGTTCTGGCTAGTTGCGTCTGGTCAGAGGTTTCTGTCTGCTTTCTACTAGAGTGCATAAACGTTGGTAGAGCTCGTCCTCCTCCAGAACTACCTGATACCATGAAGAATTTTGTGGGCTCCCAAACCCGCCGCGAGGGCTGATGATTTCTGCAGAAAAGGGAGGATGTTGGAGCTTGTTCTTGGTGATCAAAATTCGGCTTAATTTACACGTTTTTTATTTATTTCTTTAGGTTGTTGGTTTCCAAGAACATGGTTGTTTTTGTTTCTGTTGTTTTTTGTTTGCGAACTCTTACATTAGGTGGGGATGATGAGGATTC